TTTAGGAATGAAATTTTTGAGAATGTGAACATGACAAATATTATAAAACAATATTTGAAGATTTCATTTAAATGACTGTATATTTATTAAGACAGCCTCTTTTTAGAAAAACACATATTAAATAATCATATTTTACAAAATCTGCTGTTTTCCAAGAGATAAGTAAGACAGGTAACAGCTATGCTGTACATTTTTGTTTCGGGAAAAGTTTTATAACATTTTGTAAAACACATTTTTGTCAAAAAAGTAATGTGGAAAACATATTTTGATTGCTATGGAAGAGTTTTAAAAGTTATAGAAGTAATTTGCTTGCCCCAATCCAAATATTTAAAAACAATTCTATTTTATATCTATTTTTATGGGTTTAAGGTTTCAGAAATCTTGGATGTGGTTTTTGTCAATTGGCTGAAATCAATACATTATGTGAACAGTTTATTGTTATTTTGTTATCAGAATATATGTCTTGAAACATAATAAATACGGTATCACGACTTACCGAAATACCGAAACACTACCGAAATACCGGAATACCCACGGAATACCCGATAATAGATATAAGAAAGCCGAAATACCCATTAATGATAGATTAAAGGAGCCGAAATACTCCCGATACTTTTTTCAGGCCGCAGATTTTCACCAAATTATCATCTAATTACTGCTTTCAAATCGAAAGCAGAAATTAGGACAATACAAATTGCAATAACGCTGATTTGTAAGTAAAATGTCTTTAAAATTGATATATGTGAATAATTTTTTTATGTCACAGATTGTTTGGAATCATTAGAAAACAGAAGGTTGAAAATAATTTTATCGCTAAAAACGACGAAATAAAAAAAATCCTGCTCTTTTAGTTTTGTAATGATGTCTTTCACATTTTTCAGTTGGTATCATTTTAAGCTGACAAATTTTATCCTCATCTGTATCCATTAATGTGTGTTTCTTCAAAGCAGGAAGTGTTACGTGCAGTTTCAAACATTCAGAACAGTAGTAGTCCTGACAATCAACACAATATTTGACAGCACCTGTATTTTTATCTTGTTCTTTACACGCCGAGCATTTTATAAGACGATGATACACTATTTGATGCCATTATAAAATCAACAATGTTTGGATGTATGCTTTTACGTTGTACTTTCAATAACAAATGAAAATATACGACAGCTATTTTTTTTTGTATATTACTACAACAATTATTTTCCTGTCATAAATTATAACAAATGGCTATACTTTCCTATATTTATTCTTTTGTACTATTTATCCACGATCTATCACGCGACACTCTAGTGTTGCGTGATCTCAATTTTTGCTGACTGAACTGTTTAAATGTTTTACGAGGATGTAATGACATAGTATCTTTCTTTTTAATCAGTTCTATTAAACTTCCGTTTACAACATTCAAAGCATGTGCTATACCGACATGTATTTTGTATTGTTTGTTAGTATATCTTATCTATTGTGTCGTAACTTATCCCCTGTACCTTTGTCAAATCGTTATATTATATGTGTATATGTCATATATCATATACATTGTAACCGCCCTGTTTATTTTCCAATATTTTTTCTCATTTTCATTCATCCTATTAACTCATTACAACATGATGCGCTCAATGTCATTCTGTAATTCTTAACAATTAATTTCTTTTGGACAGGCCTTTAAACATTTACTCACATGGGTTGAAATGCACGCATGCGCACATTAAATATACTTTCACTGGTTTGTTCCGCGAAGAAGTTGTGTTGCGTTTTTCATTCTACCATTCAATTTGTTTTTAAATTATAAGTTTCCGAGTCATTATAGGTAATTTTGTTTGTTGTTAATTACTCATACTGTATTAATTTAATTATTGAAATGACATGCGTGTTGCATTTTGTATTATTTTCATATTGAATATACTTTCATTGGTTTGCAACACGAAGTAGTTGTGCATGTTCGTGAAGTTGGCAGCCTAGCAGCCTGAATTTGGCAGCCTAGCAGCCTGGCAGCCTTGCAGCCTATCAGTCTAGCAGCCTGACAGCATAGCAGCCTAAAGAAAACTAAGAGTAGTACAAACATGAAAACAGTCGGAAATACATTATAATTAGTAGCACTTCTTTGGATCATTCCACATCTTTTACAATACCGTGATCTTTTCTTTTTAAGATGTTGAACTTTATCTTAACATATTTTTTTTCATTTTGACGCTTCGAAATTTGTAAAGCTAGCAGCCTACCAGGATAGTACAAACATGAAAACCGTCGGAAATGAATCGGTAGCACATACTTCATGTACTTAGACCATTCCGTCTTATTTCATTATCGCGATCTTTATTTTCTTGAATATTGAACTTTGTTTTTATTTTATTTTGACACTTCGGAATTTATGAAGTTAGCAGTCTAGCAGCCTAGCAGCCTGGCAGCCTAGAAGCCTAGAAGCCTAAAGAAAACAAAGGATAATACAAACATGAAAACCGCCGGAAATGAATCGGTAGCACATACTTAGACCATTCCACATCTTATTTCAGTATGGCGATCTTTATTCCAACTTCACGAACATGTAGTTGTGCTACTTTTTTTAAATGTACTATTCAATGTGTTTTTTGTTGTTTTTTTTGTTTTTTTTTTCTCCGTGCCATTACAGATCGAAACAGTTGCTCCTTTGTGAGGGAAGAGGAACCCTAAGACATAGATATAGGTACAAGCGAGGTATTTAACGCCGCATCTATGCACTGCATAACTTGATTTTTTAAGGGCCGCATAAATTGCTACCTTGATGAATGTTTAATAAGATTTGTGCAGTTGTGAAAATTGAAAAGTTAAAGGGGAAGCGGCATGACACGCAAGTAACTTGTTTAATACTTTGTACTGTGGCAGGGCGGGAACGCTTAAGTCAATATATTATTGTGCCAGAAATGTTATTTTGGTAGTTTTCAATCCGGATCTCAGCAGTAAGCCGCATTAATTTTCAGAGCACAGTACAGCTACCGCATCGTTTCTGGGCTGGTTGACAAGCAGTAAACCAGCGCAAGTTGTCTTCATTTCCAAAGGAACTGACACCTTCTGTACAAACCAGTTCAGAGTTACCGTGCGAATGAGCGTTGAAAGGATTTCATGATGAATCACATACAAATCACATGCACCGTGCGGGGATCGATCCCGGATTAGGTTAAAGGTAGTGATCTACAATTTATAATGATTATTTTTAATAAATTCTGTAGCATTTAAATTGACACTTACAGCAAGGCGGCCGTGTCGTAATTTAACATTAAAATATGATTATATCTGCAATGCAGGGACTTTTGGTAACTATACCTCTCGACTTTCTAAGAAGGAATGAAAGCTTGTTTCTAATTCTTTTGTAAATCTCTAACTTTCAGTGCTCGCTTTTCAAATGTACTTTTTGTCTTTATTACAACAGTGCACGATTTTCACGAGTACAATATATATTTTAGTTTTTATTTGTTAAATTTTAACAATAAAGAACCCCATGTATATTTTCATCTGTGCTGTTCTACAGAAATTAGATAAGTTTCTGATATCTGTAAAAAGCTACACATGAATACTAACATACTAAGTTGCAAGCTTTATTTGGCTTAATAAATATTCACTTTATTTCGTCTCTACCAGTCCGCTAGATGATTGGTGGGTTTAAATTTGACCTTATATGTATACATGATTTACGTCATGCATGGACTATTGTATTAAAGTTGGGAAAGATGATTGAACAATTGATACTTATTCATGTTTAAACTAAATTTCAAGTGTTAACACGAACCCACGCGATGTATTTTCCAAAAAAAAAACAAAACATAACGTCTACTTTCATTTTCTCCTCTAGTGAAAAAAGTGACTGAATAAAGAGGTACTAATTGACATATATATATATATTTTTTACAAATGCAGTATCTTTTTCGCCAAGACATAAATTAAAATCTGAACTGCTTGTAGATATGTAGCCTTTATTCATAAAAACAATCAAAGCACTGAAAGTGTTGTATGCGGTTAGCCCGAGAATTGTAAAGCATAGGTAGTCAGACTATTCTCCCCCTTTTGACACCGAAGGTACTTAAATTATCTGTTAAACCTACCGCCTGTCACACCAATTAACATACAATTTATACTGAGGTTAACTTTACTTGAAACTCAACTGATAAGAATAGCCTGTCGCCTGCTAGTTCAGAAACAGTTTATCGGTTATTCAAATGCCATGAGAAATTCAGTACAATTCAAATGCTATGCGGAATTCAGTGCCATTCAAATTCCAGGTGAAATTCAGTGTTCTTCATATTCCATGAGAAATTCAGTACAATTCAAATTCCATGTGGGATTCAATATATTCCATGTGAAATGCAGTGCAATTCAGATTCCATGTATTATTCAGTGTATATCAAATTCCATGTAAATTTAACACAATTTCAATCCATGTACAATTCTGTAATTTAATATCAAATTTGTATTTATACCATGAGAAATTCAGTATGTTGCAAATCAACCCATCTCTGAATACTGAATAAGGTTTGAAATGTAGTCTATTGGGCTATATAATATGGAAAAGACGGCAGTCCAAAAATAAATTTACAGACTTACAACTAACAGCAACTGAAAAAAGGCCTGCGTGAAATTCATTTACCAGCCACAGACTAACCATGTATCAAACAGTAAAATGCAAACTAATATGCATGTGATTATACTGATATGTAAAAAATATCAAAACATCCTTTATCCTTCTTGTCAACAAACCAAGCGAAAGTAGGTCTCGTACAAGGCAGTGGTCGTTCAGGCATACCGCTATAACAGCATTGCATAATCTTAACCTTATAATAAAAAATGCAATTGATATTATACTGAAAAAGTAAAAGCACTACTTATTCGTGGACAATTGCATGCTTGTTGAAAACCTCTGTCTTCTCTTGCAAAAATAATGTATGCAGATATATTCATGCGCGATACTAATAAACTCTCAATTCTCACTTCTTCACGACAAATACTAAAAAAAAAACATTTGTAAAATAACTAACATACATAGTAATAAGTAACGTATATTTATTTGTATAAGTTAAACCTAAAACAAAATTAAATAACACTTGCACGTTGTACGATCTAATCACACGAAACCGCTAAAAACAATTGTTCACAATCTCCACGCAGTGATCTCCACTTAATTCTTCGGCGTAGACTGTACTGATAAAGGGAAGTAACCGCTGCGAGGAGTTTGGATTGTTCACGGAATTCAGCGAAGTAACATCGGGCGTACTTAAACAAGTTTATGTTAATATTTTTTTTAAATGTTTATTCTCACAATCTCATTCGAGTAATCAAAATCACATAAAATTATATCATGATATAATGGCCCAGCACATGAAAAATCTTCGGATCATTGGTAATTGTTTGTAACATTTTTAGAACTAATTTGTTCTGCGCGGCAGCAAATCAGTGTTAGTAATTTGGCTGTTTTCGCTCAAAAAGACCAGTCTCTCCAGAAGTTGTTATTACTAAAGCAGCTTACCGCTAAAATGAATGTAGGTTGACCTTTTGACATCATTTTAACTTAACCAATATTCAAAAGCGGCATAGGACAGCTTATGCGCAATTTTATAGAAATTACTTCTGTTACGCAGTACTTTAGAAAACAGAAGGCAACGATGAACGGAAAATGATACAGTATCCGTTCGTCTTTTGTTCTTCTATGAACATTAACACACATTATTTTAAAGAAATACAGCGTTTTAATTGGATGACAAATAAAGCCGGACACTAAAGTAAAAATTATATTTCTCTTAATAACAAAAATAACCCCAGATACTTAAAATTCTATCAATATAAACGATAATACTATTTTATTATAAATAAATGGATTGAACGACAATAATAGCGATGATTACAGCAACTCCAAACACAAAGCTGAAGATAATCTCGATTCTTGCCCAGTTGGCCTTGGATCTGGCAGCCTTCATATCTCCTTGAGCTGCTAAATTGTTGGCCTTAAATAAAGGAGTAAATAAATAAAAGATAAAACATAACGGGAAGAAATTTAAATATTTTCAGTAGAACTATTCACTTATAGATATAAGATCAGATATTAACCTTTTACCCCATGAGCATATTACGAAAAAGGCCGTTTTCATCGAAAATCCTCCTGTAACAAGTTCAAACTGCTATGAAACTATGAAAAATGCTTCAATATTGATGAAACTTGACACAAATGTTAACTAGACCATACCCTCTGTAACTACATGCTCAATCGTAAATTTCATGTTACCACGGCAACGGGGGGACGTCTCAAATTTGCCAAAAATCACTATTTTGCATTGTTTGTTTTTCCATCAAAACTGATTTTAAAGTGCTGCAACTTCTCAATGAATTGAGAAAGAATAAAAGGCTTTTCATCGTCGGTTACTAGTTAACCTAAGATCGACCTGGGGACATTTTTAGCCTGTCACATGTCCAAAATTTTCTTGGCGATGGGAGCAAACCCCCCATTGAGGCCTCAATACGGGGGGGAGCCGTCAAAACACGCTGAAATGAGGGAAAAGGTTAATTAACATGCATGCTTGTTTCATAAAAAACATTGCAACTAACCAAAGAAATGCGTAAACTGTATGGCGATGGTAATGATGAAAATCATCGTTATAATATATTAATTACATAATAAAGTATGGTTTAGATTATTTAATATTTTTTACAAATATGATACAATTTAAAATGTGATGTCTTTTTGTTTTGTTTTTGTTGGTAATACGAAATTTTATAGTTATTACGTTGACAACATACGGCAACAATTAAGATGAAAAATATTATCATATCATTAAAGGCATATTATGCAGCAGATATCCATATTAATCAATTTCTTTACAAATGTCAAACATATAGTTATTAATGTTTAAATGTAGTTGAGCGGTGTTTATCGGCTTTTTAACACCGCTTTGGAATGTGTAGGTTAATTAAATCGCACCATAACGACAAAGCCGATGTTAAAAAGCCGATAGACACCGATGAAACTTCTAACCAGACAAAATAAGGGAGATCACGAACGTTTTAATTTGTTTCTTGTTTTTGTTGTGTTTTTTTCAATCTGAATATGAAATAATGTGTTTTTGTACATGTAGGAAAATGTAAACACTGTATTTTTTTAACTTCCATACTCATATTCCATTCCAATACTCATTCACTATAGCTATACATGTATAAAATATTAAAGGAGCAAAAGAAGCAAATATAGTTCACCTAAATGGCAAATGAATATCTGTTTTGAAACCTGTAACAAAATACCCAAACTAATTTAAAAAATTGAGAAATAAATATGATAGCATTTCAGAGGCTTATTGGGCATTCAAGAAGCTAATGATCTTATTATAATAGTCATCAGTATTAATGTCAAATTTCAAATATCGTCAATCACTCACCTGTACTGCGTCCTGTATAGCATATAGTCCACACAAAAAACAAAAACAGGAAGCTAAGATTGCGCAGGGAAGATAATTTGGAGGGCGTCTTGCTGCTGCTTGATCAGCATTTTCTGGCTGAGTCACAACCTTAAAGTTTAAAAGAGAAGTAAGAAATATAAATGCGATCATTATCTTAGTGCAAGGATATTATCATGTTTTTCGACCGACAAAACAACTTTTATACTGGTCGCCATGATTCAAACCATCTTACTAGATCGTGCGGTACTGTATAAGATTGAAGAAATGTCAATTATGTTATAAGACCTTACCACTGCTGTTGGTTGCTGCTGGGCGTTACCCTGTTTAGAGTTCTCTTGGTATAGATTGTCTGTCCTCGGTGGTTGTAATACACCAGATTGCTCACTTGGAGTTGACAGAGGGTGAATTTCTATAATAATCAAAGAACTTGAAAGTACTGATGGAAGGGGATTTTCCAAATATCACAAATTAACATTTGTTGTTAGCACTAGAGCGACCATTTATAGGAGTGGGTCGGGGTGAAATATGTCTGGATGAACAAATTCAATAGTTTCTTGAATTCATGGTACAATGCAATGTTACTACCATTTTATTTAACAACAATTACTTTTATTTGCAATCATGTCACTATTACTGTCAGGTGAAGTAGGGGCAACCTTATACTATAGCACACGCCTTGTTAATTAGGAAAATTCATATAAATAGTGTAATCTGATTGGTTATTCATCTCGTGCGCAGGACTGAATTTTCTCGTTCCAACGACTAAGTAACTCGTGACCAAGACATAGTATCTCGTTCCCTAGACTGAATTATCTCTTGCCCACGACTTAGTAACTCGTGGCCACGACATGGTATATCGTCCCCATGACTTAATTATCTCGCGCCCACGACTTAGTAACTCATGGCCGGGACAATATTTCACGTTACCACGACTTAACTATCTCGTGGCCACAAAATAGTATCTTATTCCTTCGGCTTAATTACCTCGTGTCCACGACATAGTGTCTCGTGGCCACGACATAATCATGATCTCTTGACCACGAATTTATTATCTCGTAGCCACAGCTTGGTAGGTCGTTGCCAAGACATAGTATCTCGTTTAAACGACATAAATTTCTCGTGACCACGACTTAGTAACTCGTGGCCACGACATAGTATCTTGTTGGCACGAGATAACCATACGAAATTCAAAATTTGAAACGGCAAAATTACGAACTAGAGTTGAATTTCGTAGCTCGAAGATCAATATTCAAAATTTGCAAAGGGTGAATTTGGAGCTTGAGTCGAATTTTAAGCTAGCTCGAAGATCGAAATTCAGTATATGCAAAGGCCGAATTCCGAGCTGAAGTTGACTCTCGAGCAAGCTCGAAAGTTCAACTCCAGCTCGAAATTCGGCTTCAGCTTACTTTGAATTTCGATCTTCAAGTTAGCTTGAAATACAACCCTGGCTAGAAATTCAGCTTTGGTTTATTTTGAATTTCGATCTTTGAGATTGATCGAAGTTCAAAGCTAGCTCGAATTTCACAAAAAACTGAATCTCGGTCTAGATGTAAGTGATTACTTCCTGATAAAAGATATAAAGATTGCTACGTTTTTTTTTCCACATTCCTTAAATAGAAACAAAATTGCCGAAAAACACCTAATATCGGTACATGTATATCATTTATGATTAAGTTACTGTAAGGCCTCCATACGACGCATTTTAATTAATTCTTATAGCTCAATAAAAAGGATCCCATCAGGCCAATGAACGCAACTAACATAACATTTAATAGTATCTTAATATGTCTTTATAATAAATGAATAGTGTACATATCGTTATAAGTAATATCTGTTGTGTAGTTTTACTTATTTGCATTGTCCGCCATGTTTATAAGGTATACCAAAAATGTTAGATATAAGCATTCCTAGCTGGGCCTTGTACTTCTGACAGGGTTAATGTCTTTGGCACAAATTCTTATTTCTTAGATGTAATGGGATGGCCGACGTACGTACATGTTCCCTTTCATGGATTCCGTGAACGCGAAGGTTTCAAAGAATTTGATTAAAACAATTATACCATAATGTAAATAGTTAAGGGTCGACCTACAAAATATCTTTTTTGAATAATGGTATTATGTAATGGATATAAATCGACATAATCTTAAAACATTGGATCAACATGACATATTATACCACCTTAAAGGTAAACGTATTCAAAGGACTCCGCGCCGTCATACTATAATTACCCGCTGGCGACTTTCAACGTCATGCGTCATTGCATTTTTTTAAAGTAATATAAGGCTTCTTAAAGTAAGTAAGTAAGTAAATTATAGTGACATGTGTTTTACGTATATACATACACATAAATACACAAAGATGAACACCCGGCCCATAGGACCTATAAGTCACCTTAACAAAAGATCATATTCTGAGCATGTGTTATAGTTTTTAACATGTTATTAACATGATAGTAAATTCATATCAATACATGTTATGCATTTACGGACAGTTCAATTTTAATTAATCATGATCTATTATACAATAAATATCTCCTTAACAGATATGCTTGTACAATAAATTTAATAACTTTATTTTGATGGTTGTTTACGATGTAAACTAGTTTTTCATTGTCTGCCATTGTATTAAATAAATTGTTTGAAATAACATTTCCAAAAACAACAGTTCTTATATCATTGTAAATGGGACACACAACAAGGAAATGAGCTTCGTCCTCAATTTGATCTGTTTGGCACAAATTACAAAGTCTTTGATTAGGCAATTCTCCGCTATATCTACCGGTTTCTATTCTTAATGGTAGGATACCACATCTAAACTGCGCGTATAATGAGCGTTCATTTCTTTTTAAATTTAATAATAAATAATTTTCACATGTGAAGGATGTCTTAGATAATGTGTAAGTTCTCAGTTTTGGTACGTTTTCACAATCAGTAGTCCATATGTCTGCGCAATATTGAATCATTTTTGAATTGGCACAGTCCATATTGATGGCCAATTTATTTTCAAAATGATCACTGAGGTCTAATTTCGTCATTATATTCTTCACTTCACTGCACCAATTATTTATTGTATCACTTTTCTCATAGTCACAGTTGAATGCCTGTTTCGTAATCCTATTATTATGTAACTTCACAAGTCTATTCCAATAACGGATCATGCACAACCAACGTCTGTAATTACACGGTATCCAACCTGTTTCACCTGTAAGCGCAAGTTTTGGAGTAAATCTATGAACTCCCAAGAAATAGCGAATGGCCCGGTTTTGTGTGTTATCTGCCGATTGAAAGTTTCTATAACCCCAAACAGAAGCACAATAGTCCAAAATGGGTATCACGCAGGAATTGTATAGTTTCTGAAATGTTTTAAATCCACAGTTTTTGAAATAATGTATCTTTGATATAATTCCACCAAGAGCACGACCAGCACTCTTTGATAAAGCTTCACAGTTATATGTAAAGTCATGTTTATCGTGGAGGTTAACACCTAAGTATTTATATCTGTCTACTGTCTCTAAAGAATTATCACCTATTTTAAATATGTGATCACATTGCTTTGTTCGTCCTTTCCGGAAATGCATAACCTTTGACTTTTCACAGTTAATCAACACCCTCCACCGCTTGCACCAGTTATGCATGGTGTAGATTTTCGGAGTTGTTACTGATGAGAACAATATCATCCGCATAAAGTAGCATTGAGATTGATGATGTTTCATTCATTTTAATTCCAAGGTGAAGGTCATTAATTTCCTGAACAAGGTCATTTACGAAGATGGCAAAAAGTGTCGGCGACAAATTACACCCCTGCTTCACTCCTTTCGGGCAAATGAACCAGTCTGTGAGCCTGTTATTAATGCGTACACATGAAGTAGAACTACTGTATATATTTTTTATCGAGTTGTATATTTTGCCGTCAATCTTGTTTGATAGTAGTTTGTAGAGCATCATGTCTCTGTCAATGAAATCAAAACACTTTTTTAGATCAATGAATGCTGCCATAACGGATGTATTGTTTCTTGTGATACTGTCTAAAGTGAAAATGTGATCCTCGCACGAGCGATCTTTGCGGAATCCATTTTGCTCGTCCGCGAGCATATCGTGCTGGTTTAAATACGTAGTTATCCTTTTGTTAATAAAGGCACTATACAGTTTACTGATGCATGAAAGTAAACTAACCCCTCGATAGTTCATAGGTAATCTTGCATCTGTAGTAGCGTCTTTCAAAATAGGGCATATAATAGATTTTCTCCACGGTGTTGGTATTAAACTTGTATCCAATACCAGTTGAAAAAGTTCCCGAAGTACTGATATGACATTGGGAAATTTTAAAACATCGTATGGTATTTTATCATATCCGGATGATGATTTTGATTTAGCCTTCATGACAATAGCTGACAATTCCTCTAATGTGATATCATTGTTCAAGTATGAATTTTGCACGTATAATTGGTCAAGCATGTCGGACTCAATTGCCTGTTTTTCACTTTTTTTCAGATTGTAAAATTCTTCATCAAAATTTTCATCAACTTCGCCATTATAAAGTTTCTCAAAATCACGTTTCCATGTCTCAAGTACGCGATTTTCATCTGTAATTATTTGTCCGTTTTCTATAATCTCCAAGGGAATTGATTTATTTTGTCTTGGTCCTAACGTTCGGATTTTCCCCCAAAAATCGTTAGGACTTTTCGATGATAAATCCTCAATTTCAAGTGTTATTGAATCACGGTATCTTCGCTCCGATTGTCTTTGTTTTTTATCAAAAACAGTCCTTGCGTTTATATATTCCGTTCGTAACGCGTTACGCACTGGCCTATTGTCTTTACACTTTAAAACTTTCTCTCTTTATCTGACATATCTTTCCACAGTTGTGACAGTGTTTCGTCCCAAAAGGGCTTTTTATTTTTAAAGCGTTTGCCTGAACGTTTTGTGTGGCTGTATTTCGGGATGGTATTATTCATTTCAGTAATAAGTGTATCGCATAATAATCCGTAAATTGAATCCATGTCAACATATATTTTTAAAAATATATACAATTACTCACACGAACATTCCGTTTAAGAATTTGAAGACACATTAAATCAATGAGAAACATATTCAAGACCTCTTACACTTAGATTAGAATCAAACAGTACAATTACAATGTTATATATAAACAGAATATTAAAAGTGAGGTACCACCGCTAATCGTTAAAGATGATGTAAGAAATTGAGAACTGTAAATCGGAGCCCTAACGCGCGTTGTATATTTAATTCATGTTTTTGCTAATTATAGTCTACATAATTTATTTCAATTGTCATCTTTTAAAAATGATAGTAACTATAGCATATTATATACGTCTACAAACTTCAATATTAATATTATAAAATTCTATTTCAACGCTATATTTGATATTCTGTAAGTAACTTTCGCCAGGCTCACATTGAGCGAAAGGAAGATCGATGTCTGAGCTTGTGTATAGATATTAATAAATTATATGCAAATAAATGAAGATAAAATCATATTGATTTAAAAAACTAGATTTGATAATATACGTCTACAAACTGGAATATTAATATAAAATTCAATTTAGACGCTATATTTAATGTTTCTAAAATCACTTTTGCCTCTTTAATATTGAAAACTCGAAAGTGAGCGAAAGTAAGATCTAGAAATGATGAAACTTCATGGATATTAAATCATCATAATGATATTTTAAATATATTGTATTCATTTCTGAAACTATGCGTCTACAAACTGTTTCAAATTCAAATTAAACGGTATATTTAATATTTTGTAAGTCAGTTTCGTATTTTTCAATGTGAGCGAAAGGCAGATCTCTGTAGTTGAGTGTAGAAATTATGCAAATAAATGGCGATTAAATCTTCATAATGATTATTTTTGAAAATGAATATTATCAATTTCTGATAATTTACGTCTACTAAGAACAATATTAGTAAAATATTTCAACTTAAACAGTATTTTTGATATTTGATAAGTCAAATTGATATTTTTCAATGTTAGTGAAAGGAATGTCTCAGAACTTGTGTATAGAAATTATGCAAGTGAATAGCGATTTAATCATCTCATTGATTATTTCTTAAAATAAATATTACCAGTTTCTGAAACAATACGTCTACAAACTGTTATATTAATATAAATTCAAATTAAATGTTACATTTGATATTTTTGAAGTCACTTTCGTATTTTTTCAATGTGAGCGAAAGGAAGATATCTGCACTTGTGTATAGAAATAATGAAAATAAATGGCGATTGCATCATAATGATTATTTTTGAAAATAAATAGTATCAATTTCTAATTAATTTACGTCTGCGTAGTGCATTAATAGTAAAAATTTCAATTTAAACAGTATATTTAATATGATAAGTCACGTTCGTATTTTTCAATGTTAGTGAAAGGAATGTCTCAGAACTTGTGTATAGAAATTATGCAAGTGAATAGCGATTAAATTATCATAATGATTATTTTCGATAATAAATATAATCAATTTCTAATACTATACGTCTACAAATTTAATGGACTACTATTTCTTTTTGTAGAAATTTGTAAAATGTTGCTCTGTTTTACGTAAACATCTACAGATTTAAAATATTTTTGCACAGAAAATTTGTTGCACATGTGTATGAATAAAACATGTCAATTCTGACCAATTTTAACACTGGTCACATGAAAATGTGTCATTATACCGGTACATGTATATCATCTATGATAAAATTACTTTAAGGCGAATTTTTACGGCCTCCATACGACGCATTAATTCCCATAGCTCAATAAAAGTGTCCCACCAATGAACGCAACTAACATAACATTTAATAGTATTTTAATATGTATTCATAATAAATAAAGTAATAAATTAATAGCGTAATTATCGTTATAAGTAAATGTAATATCTAATGTGTATTTTTACTTACTTGCATTGTCCGTCATGTTTATAAGGTATTCCAAAACTGTTAGATATTAAGCATTCCTTGCTAGGCCTTGTACTTATGACAGGGTGAATGTCTTTAACATAGGTTCTTATTTCTTAAAGTATTATTTGACGGCCGAAATAAGTTCGTACATGTTCCCTTTCATGAATTCCATGAACGCGAAGGTTTCAAAGAATTTGATTTAAACAATTATACCATATTGTTAATAGTTAAGTATCGACCTACAAAATATCTTTTATGAATATTGGTATTCTGTAACCGATATAAATCGACACAATTATCGGACATATTGTACCACCTTTAAAGTAAACGTATACAAAAGATTCCGCCCCGTCATATTATAATTACTCGCTGGCGACTGTCAACGGCATGCGTCATTGCAATTATTTAAAGTCATATTAAGCCTCTAAATGTATTTCATTTTGTTCTTCATCTGTATAAAAAAATGTTCAAATAATAGATGTAGAACATGGTAGGGCCTTGGCGGAAAGTAAGGTATGTTTTCGAGCTCTTTAAAATAAGCTAACATTTTACGTTATCGTAAAATTGGTTTTTGTGTGGAGACAAGATTTTGTATAAATACAATGTACTAATATATTGATGGCATGATCTCCAAGATCATGAAGATAGACTTATGTATATTAAGAAATTAATAAGAATACATTTAATTTAGTCAATGTTTAGCATATATCATATTACATCGGGTATTGTTAAACCCTACATTGAGGCTCTTTATAAATATAACTGTGTCAAATATTTGAATGTCCATGCAGTTAATTACTTGTTTCTAAATAAACACACGAGTTTATATGTACCGAAAATGATGTCGCGTGCCTGTAGTCTGGTTCCCTGCCTTAGTTGAATACTGATAACGTAGTGTAAGGGGAGGGAACTCCAGACTAGCATGCCTCCAAATGACACGACAAATTTAAAGAAATTCAACTTCTAGAAAAATATACCATGACTTTAAGAAAAGTAACATTACTCTCAATTCAAGGAATAATTTACGTGTTATATGCTATAAAAGACTGATGTTGCAGTACTTACATAGCACCATATTTCTGCGTGACTAGCACAGTAAGGGCTATTGTTTGCTTTGTAATTTACGTGAATTAAAAGTGCCGCTTGTAATGTGCTTATTACTGTCTTTGTTCACTTGTCAATATTTTAATAAAATAATATCTAAAAGATTTGAAATATATTACAAAATAAGCATGAATCTGGAGGCATGCGGCTCTAAGATAAAACAATGTTTTTATATACTTTTTCAGACCCCTTCTACTATGCGGTTGTCTTAACTGTAAAGTACATGTATGGCATTTGCATTAAATCTGTTGACATAACAAGGGACGGGTGTTTCTGAATGTAAGATGCTCTTTTAAGAACATTTCTTATTCCTCATTTGATTCCCCTTTGTTTATCATCTAAACTAAAATGTAATAATGTTTTCAACAGAAATTTTTGATTAACTTGTTAAATTTGGGATAAAAAATATTTGTCCCAGATTAAATGGCGAATCAATATTTACTCAGTAAAATAGTTTGTGCAAATTACTGTTCTACACATAATTCACAGTTTTATGGAATCCGGTATTAATGACAAGGAGGGGTTAGGTGTCGATTCTTTGCGAACATGAAAATGTATCTCTGCTTTGTAATCTATATTTGAAAAATGTAGATAAAATAAAACAAAATGTTCATTTATTATCAGAAAATAGATGACAATGGTTAACACATTTTAACATATATTTTCTTTGTATTATGTAAAGCATTCCAATTGCAAATGCTGTTTTACAATTACTCAATATGGCACGATACATTCATTTAATTTGCTTATTTTAAGTATTGGATGACGTACAGTTTAAAATTGAATAACATTCCACCTTATGACTACTTTGTTCTTGTCGCGATATTAAGTATGGTATTTAATTGAATTTAATGGTTTAAATCTCAAATGACTACATAAAAGCAACTAATAAAATAATTTATATGTACATCATTTTCTCAAAACACAAGAGAACATGCATAAATACGTTATATTTTATTATACATAGACACGCACACGCACATACAAGCGCGCGTGCCCACACACACACGAACACGAACACGCACATACCAGCGCGCACACACGCACATACCAGCGCGCGCACACACACACACACTTAATCTCACGTCAACATATCTGCTAACAGCATAACGTCTTTTGATAATTCAACGAATGCATTTGTTAAGGTAGACCACTGCTAATGCATTACCTAAACTATGAAGAGTATTCAAATAGGCTAGTGCATTGAAAATAAGGGGCATGGGTTCAACCCCAGGAAGGGCAACTTTTTTTCTTTCTTTTTTTTATAAATTTAATTATGTATCTCTTAGATCCCTTATTTTAAAAAAGTGCTTAATATTAATTATTTAGTTATTGTAGGTAGTTATTTGCTAACTTATGCCAAATTGTGTAATTTGTGACACGAGTTATTTGTTTCTTAACAACGAGGAATAGGAAAACATTTTTCATAATACTGATGATATTATAGATTATTTGGAAATACCTCATTTTCTAATAACAAAGTTTTAGTTCAGAAAATTGTCCATAACTCATAAACCACACGGTTAAATTTAATTTGAATTTTGCAAACAGGTGACATTTAAGGCATATACTTGTAACTGTCCAATGGTGGCAATTTTATAGTTCCTTTTACAATGTAGTGCCCATTAGCAGTGGTCTACCTTAAAATAAGTTCGTCAACATGAATCATACAGTCTGTTCTATAGAATACGGACATATAAACAAAAACACACATAATCTTATATCAATGTAGCCAAATTGTATACCACATATTTGACTCAAATATATATAACATTTATAATAAAACAATGATTTTTTTTATATCACAAAAGCTTTAGATTATAACTTTCTAAATGCATAGATCTACGCACATAAATAAGAGTCATGCCTGGAAATGATATTTTCTGAAATGTCTAATAAAGTAAGTTTGCATTGTAAATGTCAATTTGTGAATAAAATCTTCCGATAAACATTGATTCGTAAAGGTTCGGAAGACTTTGCCATTTCAAGCGTCATATATTGTATTTCAAAAGCGTTTAGTTTGTTAGTTTGTTTACTTCTTTGATTTTCATTAGACTGGAGTAGGGGAGATTACAAGTATTCTAAAGCTACTTTTGGAATTAGATCCTGTTCACTTAATAGCTATTGTAAATTAGTAATCTGCTTATACAGTCAGTCTGAAGACAATAACGAAGACGACCCAAATAACACCAATTACAATGCTTGTGATCATCAGGTTTCTGGCATAGTTAGCCATACTTGTGGCACCAACCATATCTCCTTCAGCTGCCAATTTCCTGGCCTGCAATTAGATAATAAACGAAAGATTATCCCGTTTTCAGGGCTAGGCAGTAAAACCTCAAACATTTTTTGAAATTATATCAAGGACTTATGTCAATCTTTGTTGCAATACATTATGTTTTGATATTCTTACGATTTTCTAGAATAAAAACATATTTTACTGTCGAGTCGACGGGATGGTTACAACGAAAATAGTCCGATTGGGAGCATTTTGCAGGTGCGCAATTACGTAATATCCTTCCAGTAGAAATACTCATTGTAAGAACGTTTAGAAAATTATATAAGATACATATATCACAAGATCAGAGATGGACAAGTGTGCTTGTTTTAGAGAAAAAACTCTGATATTTAACAAAGTAATGTTCCATTTACATGTTGATGATGTTAATAATGAAGATTTTTATGATAATGATAATAATGGATAACTTTATGTATCTTTACTCACCCGGTATGCATAGAATATAGCAAGCAATCCTGTCGGCCAAAAACAACAGAGACAGGCAAAGATTGAACCACATATGTAATCCGGAGGTCTTGGCATTGCTACCACTTGGCCAGCATATCCTGGCTGTGTCATAACCTAAAATTAAAAAAAAATATCTGTATAAATGAAAATCATGATCTAAGTGTTTTTCCGCGTTTTTAACTAAGCATCTTTTAAATTAATCGCCTTGCTTCCTACCATCTCATTATTTTTGAACAACCGGAATTATGGTTACCATATAACCATATCTCGATCTTCTTAAAGCCATTTTCACGTCAAAGAATTACACAACCCTACATGTTTGTTTTCCATTATATATTTAAAAAAAACAGTGACACTAATAGATCTTTGTGATCCCGGAATTATCACTGCCATAACATCCACGAATACGTGCTGACTATTTTTCTTAATCTCGTGCAAGTAGGTCAAAGGTCAATGTTTCGAATAGATTACTTTAAGCTACTTCAAGCTCACAAACAATATATAACATGATATTCAAGGAAAAGAAAACTCAAATACGCAAAACAAAAAGTATATTGCATACATCTTATATAAAAAATCATTTTGTTCAATGTTTTATTTATTGAAGCTTACTGCGCAAATTTCTCATGTACTTTAATTCAGCTACATATTTGGCAATTCATTCCCATTCTGTTTTGGATTGGAGAGAAGAAAAAAAAATCATCAACTAAAATTGTTTTATATGTTCTTACCACTGTCGTTGTCTGGCCGAACCCTGGTTGAGCACTCGAACCTCCTTTGTTGTGCTCAACGTAAGCTGGTTGTGAAGGATAAACTGTAATAAAAAAGATACTAAATACATGTAACAAAGATATAGTCAAACACATTGATAGCATTCATCACATTTAAAACATCAATGTGAAGCTTCATTCGGTAAACTTTGGTTATTTCCGATTCTGATTTGAAAATTTGCTGCTGAATGCTTTTGAATCAGGAATGGACTCTCTAAAGGCTGATTACAATTTTGTGCAATTTCCTTTATCTGGATGGAAGAATTTACAAGTGTATAGCTTTTTCTGTTTTACATTTACAGCCCTAGGGCCGACAACACTCAACAACCGGACACTTTACCTCTGTCTGAAATATAAATCTAAGTTATGGAAGAATTAGATTAATAAATGAAAACTTGATTCCAAAGGTCAAGGTTAGTTGATAGTTATAGTAAGAAATTCGCCAAATTAAATTTGACCCTAGGAGATAGGATACTTTTGTTTATTAATACGTATTAAAATACAGGGACTCTGACTCTAGTAAAACATTTTCTCTTTCGTTTAACTCACTGTATCATTAAAATGCAATTATCTTTATTTTTCAAAATATTTTATATTATATGTCCAAACCGTTACTAATTGGCCATGCATCCGCGTCATGTTTTTGCTTCTTTTGCTTGTTACAGAACATTGGTATTATAGTGTGTAAATCAAAATACTTTTTTGGTTATCTTTTGCTACATATATTGCAATTTATTTCTCATTAATGCTACTTAAGCAACTAATATGCTTTGAAGATATTAGATCAACACAAAAAGAAAAACAATGTTTATTTTCGAGGCTCATGTTTTTTTACAAAAGAGCGTTGTATTCTAGCTTCATGTATGTGTTCCCTAGTTATTACACAGTCCGCTTGATAGCAAAACAAGAGCATGTGTGATGCAGATGATCCTTTAAGTAACAACATTATGAAAATCCATATTCGAATTATGGACCTTTGACAGTGACCTCTTATTATGCCCTAAAATGTTAGTTTGCGAAGTTTTAAATCAATTCCTTTTGGTAAAAATTCTACTAATAACTTAATTTATCACTCTCTAAAAAAGAGGTTAAAACTAGCTTCACACAAAAATAAAATATATATATTTACATTAGACATATACGCATTTTTTATTTTCTTTCTTTCTTTATTTCTTTTTATGAAAAACAAATAAGGGGGCGCTTATAGACAGTGATTCGTTATGCAATCATGTCGGGAATAAAGTGGTTGACAAAAACTTGTTCATTATCGTAAGTTATTAAAACTTATGTTCTACTTTCATTTTCGTTGTTTATTTCTTACAATCTGTTACAGCCTGTGCTTTTCAGCGCACGTAATGCGGCAAAGATTTCGGACAAAAAGACCATGTCTCGACCAGTTCGATTTGCTCTCTAAGATATCTCACTGTGTCAGTTAAGTTTTACTAAGTTTATTATCTTCCAAACTTATCTTGATATCATGTTTACCGTAAAGGTATAGAATTTCGAAAAATTATTTTATGAACAATGACATAATGGAGTTAAGAACACATTAATAGTCAACCGTTATAAGGTTTTTTTTTTAAATATAGCAAATTGGCATGCGGTTGAACATCCGCCAAGTGTTTATTGGCTGGGTTCTTTAATTATCGTGTGTAACCTATAATCTAAAAAAAGGAGGAAAAAACACAAGAAAGGAAAACAACGAAAAAGGTAGACATGTAACAGAAATAAAATAATGTCGAGTAGTAGACGAAATTTCAGAAAACTTTTAATATAAATATAAAAATCATAGAAACGCAGGTATGTTAATCATAAAATCATCTGAACTTATGTGAGATTGGAAACGGAGAGCCCCTTCGCCACTTTACCTACAATATTTATACTGTCTTAAAGCAGCACGCCTCCAAGTTCATGAAAAATTTCATGTGTTTTCATGTATTTAAAAATAAAGTATTGTGAAGCGAACAAACATATTAATTTAGACATTGCAAACGGCACTTAAAATCTACGAAAATTGCCAAAAAGAGTTCAAAAACTGCAAAGATAGCCATTACTGTGTCAGTAACGCAGTAAAAGGATGGTGGTACATGTAAATACTGTAAAACACATAACATGTAAACTATCACTTGGTCCTTGGAAATGTTTATTTTTCTTAATATCTTAGTACAAGTTTGATTTTCTTCAAATATTTTGGCTTATCATTAAAGAATCTGACTGAAATTTGATAAACTAACACAATGAGCAAAGCTCACAGTTTGAAAGCAAAATGTGAAAAGAAAATGTTAATTATTTGAAATTTTTATCATGCTCTTTATAGGTAAAGAAAATTTAGTTATAAAAAATTATGCACAAGTAATATAAAAGTTTAGGTATTTTACACAACTCTGTTTTTCAGATGAATGAGAATTTCAGCCGTTTTTAGACAATCTAGCTTCGACCAAGCTCGAAATTCAACTCCAGCTCTATATTCGGCTTTTGCTACTTTTGAATTCCGATCTTTGAGTTAGCCTAACATACATCCCTGACTCGAAATTCAGATTTGGTTTACTTTGAATCTTGATCTTCAATGTTCAAAGCTAGCTGGAAATTCACTAAAAACAGAATTTCGATCTTGTTGTAAGTGCTAACTTCCTGATACTCCTCTAAATATTTCTACTGTTTTCCCCCATTCCTTAGATAGAAAACAAAATCGCCGAAAAACACCTAATACCGGTACATGTATATCATCTATTATAAAATTACTTAATGTGAACTTTTACGGCCTCCATACGGCGCATTAATTCCCATAGTTCAATAAAAGTATCCCACCAATGAATGCAACTAACATAACATTCAACAGTCTTTTAATATGTCTTTATAATAAAATGAATGAATTAATTAATAGTGTAAATATCGTTATAAGTAAATGTAATATCTAATGTGTATTTCAACTTACTTGCATTGCCATCATCTTTATAAGGTATATCAAAAATGTTATATATTAAGCATTCCTTGCTGGGCCTTGTATTTATGACAGGGTGATTGTCTTTGACATAGGTTCTTATTTCTTAAAGTATTATGGGACGGCCGAAATAAGTTCGTACATGTTCCCTTTCAATTTGAATCTGAATTTGATTTAAACAACACCATAATGTTCATTGTTAAGTATCGACCTACACAATATCTTTTTTGACTATTTGTTTTCTTAAACCGATATAAATCGATAGACTCTTATCGCATTGGATAAACATGACATATTATATACCACATGAAATGTAAACGTATTCAAAAGATTCCTCCCCGTCAAATTATAATTACTCGCTGGAGCTGTTTAACAGCATGCGTCTTTGCATTTTTAAAGTCATATTAGGCCTCCAAAATGTATTGCTCTGTTTTCTTCTGTAGAAAAAAAATGTTTAAATAATAGATGTAGAACATGGTAGGTCCTGGGCGGAAAGGAGGGGTGTATTTTGGTGCTCTTTGAAATAAGCTGACATTTTCACGTAATCGTTAAATTGGTTTTTGTGTGGAGACAAGATACTGTATAAATACAATGTACTAATACATGTATATTAATGGTGCGATCTCCTGTCAGCTTTGAAAGACTTAAAGGCAATTCTTAAAATAAATGTAGTATAAATGAGGATTTGTAAATCTGAGAGCATAGTGTAGATATACTTATATATATATATTATATATATATATATATATATATATATATATATATATATATAATATTATATATATATATATATAATATATATATATATATATATATATATATATATATATAAATTTGGAGTTCAATTTTTGATACTATACAGTACACACGTATTGAGATTTTGTGCTCGATTGTGTGCACATATACATGTAATACACCCCTGATGAAGGCATAATACGCCGAAAGTACATGGTATCTATACTTTAGCACTGTATGAACGTTTATTTCTCCAAATTTATTGTTTTTTTTTTCCACGTTCTTGTATCCTTCTTTGGATCCAGTGTTTTTGAAAAGGTATTTTGTAGATGCAAATATTTTTCACAAACCTATATATATATATATATATATATATATATATATATTCACAACATATCTTCACTTACGGGGCCCATATATAAGACCGAGTTGAGTGGCATTATTTCATGCAGTCAGTTTTATATACGCCACTATATAGGCCTATAATGAACATTTCCATACAACAGAACTAAGGGGTACTAATTTATATATATAAACTATATATTTGATTTTACCATAGGTGAAAACATATTGACTAATAACATAAAACCCCATAATAAATATATACATTTGTGGTATATATATATATATATATTAAAAACTGTTTGCCTAAAATACGAAAGTGACTTTTTTGACGAAAGTGAGGAAAATGACTTTTAAAATATGAATTATAGAGTTTTAATATACTTTCACAATAAAATTGCAGGTTGTAGACGTATATTAATATAAACTGATTATATTAATTATCCGAAATTATCATTATGATGATTTAATCGCTATTTATTTGCATTATTTCTATACACAAATTCTGAGATCTTTCTTTCACTAACATTGAAAAATACGAAAATGACTTATCAAATATTAAATATACTGTTAAAATTGAAATTTGTACCATTAATGCACTAAGAAGGCGTATATTATCAGATATTGATAATATTTATTTTCAAAAAAAAAATCATTTTGATGATTTAATCGCCATTTATTTGCATTATTTCTATACACAAGTACAGATATCTTCCTTTCGCTCCCATTGAAAATTACGAAAGTGACTTATAAAACATTAAACATACCATTTAAATTGATGTTTTTACTAAAATTGCAATCCGTGGACGTATATTTCATTAGAAATTGAAAATGTTCATTTACAAAAATAATTATTAAGATGATTTGCATAATTTCTATACACATGCTCAGAGATCATCTTTTCGGTCACATTGAAAAATACGAAAGTGACTTCAAAAATAACAAATATAGCGTTAAAAGACGCATGTTTTCAGAAATGAATAAAATATATTTTAATAAATAATCATTATGAAAAATTAACATCCATGTATTGTCATAATTTCTATATACCTGTTCAGATATCTTACTTTTGCCCACACTTAACAGTACGAAAATGACTTAATCGGACGAAAGTGAATGTCAATATTCATGATATTATTGTTTTTATAATAAATATTTAGTCAATATTCATGATATTAAAGTTTTTATAATAAATAATTAATGTTAATTATGTTTGCACGGAGACACAGGCAAACTTTTCATTTCTTTGTTTTGAATTTTTCATTCATTATTCTGTTAATGTCCTCAAAATGAATTCAATGATGGCAAGTAAAACGTTATTTTCAAATTAACATGTACATTGCCCATCTACACTTGGTTGAACATAATAAATGTCGCTTAATCTGCGCAAGATATCTAGTTTTATATGGTGGTGCAAAAGAAAAGTTAATTCAATTTGGTCACCCAATAAACAACGAGCATGTGTCATAAGTTACATAATATATACATTAACTGATGATTGGATTACAATAGTACTTTAGCGGGATTAAAGCGTTGTGATAACTGTCAATTTAAGTGGGTGCGAAAATCATATGACAAGACGTGTTTCCATGTAAACAATTAAGCATTATATATTCATACTTTATTTTTGTCTCATTCGTTAACATACATTTTAAAATAAATATACAATTATTCACATGACCATATCTCGACTCTTCGGTTTAAGAATTTGAAGACACATTAAATCAATGAGAAACATATTCAAGACCTCTTACTCTTAGATTCGAATCAAACAGTACAATTATAATGTAATATATAAACATAACAGAACAGAACATATTTTATTACACGTAAACTGTACGGTTTCTAGTGTTTTTACAATGAATAATACACACACGTATATATCATATTATTTTATAAACAGAATATTAAAAGTTAGGTAACCACCGCTAATCGTAAATTAAAAACTGCTCGAAAAAGATGATGACTGTTAGACATTAAGAGCTTTAAATCGGAGCTCTAACGTGCGTTGTATATTTAATTCATACTTTTGCCAATTATAGTTCACATAACTTATTTCAATTATCATCTTAAACATTAAGTTTTTAAAATGATACTTATTATAGCTTATTATATATGTCTACAAATTGCAATATTATTATCATAAAATTCTATTTCAACGCTGTATTTGATATTCTATAAGTCACTTTCGTCAGGCTCACATTGAGCGAAAGGAAGATAGATGTCTGAGCTTGTGTATTGTGTACTAAAGTATATGCAAATAAAAGAAGATAAAATCGCATTGATTAAAAAATGAGTTTTGATAATATACGTCTAGAAACTGCAATATTAATATAAAATTCAATTTAAACGTTATATTTAATGCTTTTAAAATCACTTTCGCTTCCTCTCCCTCGCATTGAAAATACGAAAGTGAACAAAAGTAAGATCTCTGAACTGGTACGAGGGATGTTCGAAATGTATTGCTTATTTCTATCTGGAGACTTCAAATTTCAAGTTAGCTCAGAAGTGTTCATTTCATGCCCTCGAAGTACTCCCCGTGGCTAGAAATGCAAAGTTTCAGCCGATATATCCACTTCTTGAAGGCGTCATGATTCGGGCACATTAATAAGGAACTGATAAATGACAGATAAGTGCCTGTCGGGACGTGTATTTCAGCCCAGCAGGGAAGGATTTCAATTTTGGAAACAAAAAGAAATCACATGGGGCAAGGTCTGGAGAATACGGGGGTGAGGCAAAACGGTTACTTTTTCTTTTTTCAAAAACGCCGAAACTATTGCGGAGATATGAGAGGGGGGCATTGTAATGTAGCAGACGGATATCCTGTGGCAGGACGTCGTTTCTTATCAAACTTTTTTAGTTTCTTAAGTACTACGTCTTTGAAGTACTTAATAGTGATACTTTTGCCCTTTTGCACTTTTATTGCGACACCTTCACAAGAGAAGACAATTGCATACAAAACCTTGCACTCAAAGATCGTTTGGAAATCATTATTGGGCGTTTGTTGTGTTTAGTGGCCAAGATTGTGTTGCTAACTTTTCTGGCGTGCTCAAAATAATGGACAAAAGTTTCATCATCTGTAAAGACATTGGCAAACTGTTTTTTGGTCATATTTTGAAAACATTTGAAGCAGGTTTTTGGCCACCTTAACCCGTTGCCACTTTTGCTCATCGGTCAACAGATGTGGCACCCATCTAGCAGAAATATTTCTGACTTTCAAATGCTTCTTCAAAATAAGTGAATCGTGCGTGCCTACCTTTCGTGCAATATCATGAACTGTAAATCTGGCATCTCCTTCAATAATATCCTTTATTTTGGAAACGATTTCGTTACGAGATGCAGATTTTGGCCTACCTGATTTTGGTGCATTTTTGATGCACTCTACACCAGACTCAAATTTCTTTTTCCATTGCCTAACTGTTTCATAAGACACACAAGAAGGCCCATAAGCATTATTGAGTTCATTCATCAACTACTTCAAAGAGCAAACTAGTTTTGAGCGAGCTTTGATGTAAGCCCGTATTTCATCTTTTTTGTCGACGCTTCTACCAACCATTTTTACTACAGTGGACAATGACTGCGTGTATCTAAATTGTCTTACACTTAGTCTAACATGTACATTTATTCAAAGCTGTGTAGGTATTGAATTACCCTATACAGGTATGTATTGGTTTTTATCGTGTCCCACGTGGATCACGAGATAAAGGACAATAAGCTATACTGTTCGATATAGAAATAATGGATTCCGAAATGCATTGATATTAAATCATCATAATGCTTTTTTTAAATATATTGTATTCATTTCTGAAACTATGCGTCTTCAAACTGTTTTATTATTAAAGATTCAAATTAAACGGTAAATTCAATATTTTATAAGTCACTTTCGTATTTTCCAATATAAGCGAAAGGAATATCTCTGTAGTTGTGTATAGAAATTATGCAAATAAATGGCGATTAAATCATCTTATTGTTTTTTTTAAACAAATATTATCAATTCTGAAACATTACGTCTAAAAACTGTTATGTTAATATAAATTTAAATCAAACGATATATTTAATATTTTATAAGTCACTTTCGTATTTTTCAATGTGAGCGAAAGGCAGATCTTATTTTCAGAAAATATACGTCTACTAAGAGCAATACTAGTGAAACAAATTCAACTTAAACATTATATTTAATATTTCATATGTCATTTTCATAATTCTTAATACGAGCGAAAGGAAGATCTCTGTACTTGTGTATAGAAATTATGCAAATAAAGGGCAAATTAATCATCATAATGATTATTTTTGAAAATAAATATTATCAATTTCTGATAATATACGTCTGCCTAGTGCATTAATAGTACAAATTTCAATTTAAACAGTATATTTTATATTTGATAAGTCACTTTCGTATTTTTCAATGTAAGTGAAAGGATGATCTCAGAACTTGTGTATGGAAATCATGCAAGTGTATAGCGATTAAATTATCATTATGATTATTTTCGATAATAAATGTAATCAATTTCTAATGATATACGTCTACCAATTTAATGGACTATCATTGCTTTTTGTAGAAATTTGTAAAATATTTTTCTGTTTTACGTACAAATCTAGAGATTTAAATTTTTTTGCACAAAAACTTTGTTACATAGGTGTATGAATAAAATATGTCAATTCTGAGCAATTTGTACACTGGTCACGTATAAATATGTCATTACCGTGAAATAAGTGATGGCGCGGAATTATACCGGTACATATACAGCCTCTATACGGCGCATTATTTCCCATAGCTCAATAAAAGTATCCCACCAATGTACGCAACTAACGTAACATTTATTTTTTTTTAATATGTTAATATGTCTTTATAACAAATGAATTAATTAATTAATAGTGTTAATATCGTTATAAGTAAATGTAATATCTAATGTGTATTTTTACTTACTTGCATTGTCCGTCATGTTTATATGGTATACCAAAAATGTTAGATATTAAGCATTCCTTGCTGGACCTTGTACTTATGACAGGTTGATTGTCTTTGACATAGGTTCTTATTTCTTAAAGTATTATGGGACAGCTGCAATAAGTTTGCACATGTTTCCTTTCATGGATTCCATGAACGCGAAGGTTTAAACAATACCATTATGTTAATAGTTAAGGATCGACCTACAAAATATCTTTGATGAATATTGGTTATCTGTAACCGTTATATATCGACACAATCTTATCGCATTGGATCATCAACATGACATATTATACCACTTTAAATGTAAACGTATAGATTCCGCCTCTTCATATCATAATAATCCGCCGACGACTGCTCAACGGCATGCATCATTGCAATTTTTTAAAGTCATATTAGGCCTCCATTATGTATTGCTTTGTTTCTGCTGTAGACAAAAATGTTCAAATAATAGATGTAGAACATGGTAGGGCCTTGGCAGATTGAGGTGTATTTTGGAGCTCTTTGAAATAAGCTGACATATTTACGTTATCGTAAAATTGGTTTTTGTGTGGAGAAACAAGATTTTGTAAAAATACAATGTACTAATATATTGATTGTGCGATCTCCTCTTAGCTTTGAAAGCCTTAAAGGAAATCTTAAAATAAAAGAAGTATTAGTTAGGATTTGTAAATCTAAGAGCATAGTGTAGAAAGACTTATTTATATTAAGAATACATTAAAATTAGTCATTTTTTAGCATATATCATATTACATCGGGTATTGTTAAAACCTACATTGTTGCACTTTATAAATATAACTGTGTCAAATATTTGAATGTCCATACAGTTAGTAACTCGTTTCAAAATAAATACACGAGTTCATATGTACCGGAAATGATGCTGCGTGCCTGTAGTCTGGTCCCTTGCCTTAGTTTACTACGGATAACATAGTGTAAGGGGGGGGGGGCAACTCCAGGCTAGCATGCCTCCATATGAAACGATAAATTTCAAGAAAATCATTTTCTAGAAAAATGTACAATGATTTTAAGAAAAGTAACATTATTCTAAATTCAAGGAATGATTTACTTGCTATATGCTATTAAAGACTGATGTTGCAGTATTTACATAGCACCATATTTCTGCGTGACTAGCACAGTAAGGGCTATTGACCTTTACTTTGTAATTTACGTGAATAAAAGTGCCGCTTGCAATGTGTTTTTGTTCACCTGTCTTTTTTTTACTTTGATATAATCTAAATGTTTTGAAATATTAGAAAATTAGCATGAATCTGAAGGCATGCGGCTTAAAGATTAAACTTTTTTTAAGCTCGCCTGAGCTAGCTCATGGTGAGCCTTTAGGATCGTTGAATGTCCGTCGTCTGTCGTCCGTCATCCCTCCACACTTGTTGGTTAACACTCAAGCGGTCACACTTTTGCTTCAATCATCATCAAACTTTGTCAGGATGCTCATCTAGTTGATAGCTCGAATGAGTTCGAACATGGGTCATCTCGGATGAAAAACTAGGTCACGGGAGTTAAAATAGAAAAACTTTGTTAACACTCAAGTGATCACAATTTTGCCTCAATTGTCATCAAATTTGCTCAGAATGCTTCCCTAGGTAATAGCTCAAATGAATTCGAACATGGGTCATCTCGGACGAAAAACAAGGCCAAAAGAGCTAAAAAAGAAAACCATTGTTAACACTCTTGCGGTCACATTTTTAACTCAATCATCATTAAAATTGGTCAGGATGCTTGACTAGGAGATAGCTCAAATGAGTTTGAACAAGAGTCATCTCGGATGAAAAAATGGGTCGCAGGAGCTAAAAATAAAAAAACTTATTAACGCTCTAGTGGTAACATTTTTTACTCAATTGTCATCAAACTGAGTCAAGATGCTTGTCTAGGTAATTGCTTGAATTAGTTCGAACATGGGTCATCTTGGCTGAAAAACTAGGTCACAGGAGCTTAAGTAGACAAATCTTTTTTACACTCTATAGGCTACTGTTTTGATCCAAATAACCTGTAAAGTGGTCTGAAAGTTTGCTTATATGATTTATAGGTCAAGTTAGAATATGGGTCACCTGGGGTCAAAAACTAGGCCACACTGCAAAAGTATGAAAAACCTCGTTAACATTCTACTGGTCACATTTTTGACTCACATATCATCAAACTTGGTCAGGATGCTTGTGTAGGTCATTGCTCGGATGAGTTTGAACATGGGTCATCTCGGATGAAAAACTAGGTCACAGGAGCTAAAAATAGAAAATTCTTGTTGACACTCTAGTCCAAAATATCCTGTAAATTGGTCTAAAAGTTTGCTTTAATGATTTCTAGGTCAAGTTCGAACTTGGGTCATCTTGCATGAAAAACTAGGTCACAAAAATTTGAGCAGTGTGACCTAGTTTTTACCCAGGTGACCCATATTCGAATTAGACCTAAAATCATCAAAACAAGACCAATTTCCTGGATACTTGGTTCATTACAGTTGCCACTAGAGAAATAAGAAGATTTTCCTATTTAAAATTTCGGATGAAAAACTAGGTCACAGGAGCTAAAAATAGTAAAACCTTGTTAACACTGTAGTGGTTACATTTTTGACTCAATCATAATCAATCTTGGTCAGGATGCTTGTCTAGATAATACCTCGGATAGTTCAACTATGGGTCATCTCGGATGAAAAAAACTAGGTCACAGGAGCTAAAAATAGAAAATCTTGTTAACACTCTAGTGGCTACTGTTTTAATCTTAATACCCTGGATTGTTCTGAACGTTTCTTTTGATGATTTCTAGGTCAAGATCGAATATGGGTCACCTAGGGTCAAACACTAGGTCACACTGCTCAAATATGGATAATCCTTGTTAACACTCTAGTGGTCACATTTTTTGAGTGATCGATCTAGGGCTATCATGGCCTTCTTGTTTTCAAATTGATTTTCAGACCCCTTCTGCTATGCGGTTGTCCTAACTATAAAGTTCATGTATGGCATTGGCGTTAAATATATTTACATAACAAGGGACAGGTGTTTTGGAATAGTAGATGCCCATTTTTGGACCTTTCTTATCCCTTTGATTCCTCTTTGTTTATCATCTAAACTAAAATGTAGTAATGTTTATTCAATGAAAGTTTTCGATATACTGGTTAAATATGGGACAAAATATTTCTCCGAGATTAAATGGCGAATCTATATTTACTCTGTAAAATGTCTTTGTGCAAATTACTGATGCACATGTACTCCATAGTTTTATTGAATCCAGTATAAATGGCAAGAAGGGGTAAGAGGTCGATGCTTTGCGTACATAAGAATGTATTTCTACTTTGTAATCTACATTTAAAAAAATGTAGTTTAAATAAAACAAAATGTTCATTTATTATCAGAAATAGATGACAAAGGTTAAAAAAAAATTAACATATATTTTATTGGTATAATGCAAAGCATTCCAATAGCACATGCTGTTTTACAGTCACTCAATAATAGTAAGATACATTTCATTTTATTTTGCTACTTCTAAAGTATTTGATGACTTACAGTTTAAAATTAAATAACAGTTCACATTATGACTACTTTGTTCTTGTTGCGATATTTAGTATGGTTTTTATTTGAATTTAATGATTTAAATCTCAAATGAATACATAAAAGCAACTGATGAAACTGTTAGCACACACATACGCACACACGCACGCACCAACACACACACAAACACACTCACCATCTCACTCACTCACTCACTGACCAACACGCACACACACACACGCACACACACACACACACACACACACACACACACACGCACACACAAATACACGCACACCAACACACACACACACAGAATGAAATAAAATATGAGAAAAACAAATCAAACTGCACCTTACATAATGCAAATTGTATCAACAATAATATTAGAATATACGGAGATACTTACATATTTAGAATCATTTATTCGACATTTTCAATTTCTATATTCGAAATGTATGTTCATTTGTTTTTGCTAACATTAGTATCCGCCTGTAAAACTGTTATAGCTTCCACTTTATTACCATAACAGCTATGCTTCATCACATGACAGATGTACGAGTTATGTTAATAACTTTAGAGCAATGACTGCAAAAGTAAGAAGGTCAAGGTTGAAAACTTTGATTTGCATGTTTGGTTAAGTCTGTTTGTGAGAGATATAAGTATTAAAAATAAGATATAAGAATCTCCTTTAAATCTAGAGATCAGAGAGCAAACTCAAAAGTTGTAAGCGTAAGTGGCAAAAGTTTCTTTTCAAAATCGAGCTTAAAGTAAAGGGGTTGGCAGTGTTAATGTACAATATTGTGTGCACATGAAGATTGTTGTTTGTAAACGGTAATTGATGCTAGACTACCTGATTGTAACTGCGATGTACATTATAATATAACTGTTGACATCATAATTATCTATACGGAACATAGAACATCTTTGATAATTCGACACAAAAAATACATTCACAATGACAATCTCTGAAAACAATACAATAACTATATGTATACAACCATTAATGGAAAAGACATTTACCTTTAATCAGGTTCAGTAAAAGTAATTCATAGTTAACGAATGATGTTTAGCCTTTTTGTACAATTATGTTTTAAAAGGTGTTTTTTCTTTAATTAAATAAATTGCAAATAAGAATGAGCTCTATTTAATAAAGTTATTATCCCACCTGTTGTAAAATTGATCTTTGTATTCTTAATGTTAATGAAATACAAATACCTGTACCAGTATTCATCTTTAAAAAATGATTTGTAATCTTCCAATATTAGCATTAAAATATAACGTGGAGCAAACAACATATAAAAATTATTAGAACCCACTTGTCGGAAAACATACAACATGAATTCGTGAATATTTACCTTACCGTTGTATTAATGTTGCGCAATATGAGTGGGATGAAGATGTATAACCAAAGATAATTTTTGTTATGTAATAACAAAATTGTTCTTGGGCGGCAAACATCTATTTTAAACAAGGAAATGGAAGATATATAAGAGAAAAGTATCACAACGAAAGAAAACAAAGCAAAACCCAAATATAGAATTGTGGCCTCATATAGATTATTAATATTTGATTGTACATTTTAGTTCGCATCTATGAATAATTGATGAAGGACTTGCAAGAA